CAATTTTCTTTTTCTCGTAGTTTACTATTTTCGCATTTTTTTCGATTATTGTAACTGTTTACGGTTTGTAATAGTTTAACTAGGCTTTTTACTTCATCCCCATTCATAAATTGGTACCCCTATTCCCGAAGCTTTGTAATAGCGTAGAACTTTATTTTCTGCATTTTACCACATTTACTTATCATTGTATATTAATTAGGCGTGTATGGTAAGGTTTAAAATCCACTGCTAGATAACCCTAATCAAGACAAATTAAACTTGAATCAAACACTTTTCACACGTGCACCTCTAGGGTAACCTCGCTTGTTGCCTAAAAAAAGCAGTCATGTCCCTCGAATATGGGACGCTTTAGCAAAGACCCTCGATAGAAAAAGATTGTAGTCCCTCGATGACCCTTAGACGTTGCCTTTGATAAACGATCTTAGTCCCTTATGAACATTGCTAAAGCATCCTACAAGTTGCCTTCTATGACTGTACGATGACCCGCGCCTGTCTCTCACATTCGATAATAGGGTTTCCTACTAATCAATGGTAGGATAGCACTATCTTAAGGAGGAGGAAAAGAACAAAGACTTTTTTGAGTAGGTAGATTGCTCGTAATTTCTTGCTTACAAACTAAAACCATTTTCACACCTCACACTTTCAAAAACACTTTTCAAAACAAATATTTTGTATACATTCTCAATTATACGAGAATCATTACAAAATTGCCTTATATTGGCATCTTAAAAACATCTTTCCAAACACTTCCTTTCAACAAATATTTTCAAAACCAACACTTTGTATACATTCTCAATGATACGAGAATCATTACAAAGTTTGCCGAACAAAGGCATTTTTCAAAATATTTTCAAACTTACACAAACACAAAGCATTTCAAAGTAAGCTAGCAATTAAGATCCCGTAGATAACTATGGATGAAAAGGGTGCTAACACCTTCCTTTTTTCATAACCTACCCCCCGAACTCAAGAAAATTCTCAAAAGGTCTTTCCTGTTCTTTTCACCCTTTCCTTTATTGGATAAAAGAAAAGTCGGCTGTGACTCTTGCTATCCGTAATATTTGCGATAAAACATAAAACACCAAGTCAGTTCTCCCACCGTATTACAATAGGGTTTACAGATTACAAGTGAATAATAACTAACTCTTAACTCTCTCTCAACAACCTGAGAGAGTGGTCTATTTATACACTACAAGCTAGCTCACTACTACGAAAAACAAATTTCACATTGAATGCAAAATGCTTTTAATCTCTACTGCATAAGAGAGGTAACAAAGAGCGACATAAAAAGATGCCACTTTACCCCCCTTAATTATTAAAAAATCAAGGGGTAAAGTTATGTGCACATGAGTTTGAACCCCAACAAAAACTTTTTTATATTTTCAAAATTAGTGTCACATACCTCTCGGTTTATGACCAAAACCGAGAGAAAAAATAATTACTTTGTTTTGAATACTCATTACATTGTTACACAGATTATCAATAAATTAATCTGTTTTAAATAGGGGTGGCAATATGGGCCCGGCCCATTGGGCATGCCCGTTTTACCCGCACTTTAGTGCGGGGCGGATCAAGAATTTAGACCCACACTCTCTAACGTGACCTCCCTGCCCCGTCCCATTTTCTTCGCAGGCATGATTATTTGCATAAAATTTTGCATTTTTAGGCCTAAAAGGTGTATTGCCAACGGGCTTTTCCCGCCCCACACTCACTTTTTGCGGGACAGGCCTAGTTTTTAGGCATGCATCCTCAGCTATGTCCGTCCCGCCCCGCCCCATTTTTTACGGGCTTTTGTGGGGCGGGTCTTAACGGGACGGGCATGCCCGTTTGCCACCCCTAGTTTTAAAATTACATTGTTTACACATAATATTAAAATGTTTACACAGAATATTAAAGTAAAAATATATAACAAATTTTGAATCTGATTCATCGTCATCACTGTCACTGAAGAATAAATAAAAAAATGATGGATCCTTTTTCATTGAAATCTCAGGAAAGAGAAAATGTAGGGTGAAATATATTCTAGATATATTTTGCATTCATTTATTTCTGATATAAAAAAAATGGTTAGATAAATAAAATAAAAAATTCAGTTATATGATTAATGAAGAACACAAATCTTAAACCCAAATTATTTTTTAATCTTGCAATCCATCACAGAGAACTTTACCAAGCTTCTTTACGCTTTAAACTTTTCATGTTTTATGTTTCACTAACAATTTTTTATATTCAGAAAGTACTTATAATAGATGTATGTTAGGTTTCATCCGAATCACTAATGGCAGTGTCTACAACGTTGATACTCATTAAATCGAAGACAAAGATTTGTTTAAGGATAATGAATGTCCTTAATAAAAACGCTTAAATTCCCCCTCGGATATGATAAAAACTGAGGTAAAGAATATTTCTTTCCACATACCATTCAGTTTCAGGTGAAAACCGAGGAGAATAAGCTTTTACTTATTTTATTTTTTAAATTACATTGTTTACACGGAATACTAAAATACATTATTTACAACAATCCAAATTTTGTTGCATATCCTTTGTTTAAAGTTCAATGAATTGCATGCATCCAACTTCTAATAAGTTATATGTTTCAACTATTAGAAATTACTTTTCTGCACTTGCAATCTATCCAAAAGATATATAATGTTGGAAAAATCTTGAGCAAAGGTTTTCATGGAAAATGCTTTCACAAGAAAGAGAACAAGATATATAGTGTTGGTAATATTTTGAGCATGTTTTGTTGTATTCCAAAACAACAACATCGACATCAACATCATTATGTGAGATAGATTGCAAGGGCAGAAAAAATGTATTGTTTAAGATAAAACATTGAAAAAAATTTATGTTTTGTAATTCATCTCAAAGAATGACGCGTACGAGTTTAGGGTGGTTACGTATAAGTTTGGATTAGGGTAAAACATGTTTAACGAGGGCTTTTATACCAAAATTTAATTATTTTATCTCTCGATTTTTATTGAAATCGAAGGGATAAATCATTTAATTTATAAATAAAAAATAAAATAAAAAGAAATGTTCCACTTATAATGAAATATAAAAAATGCTTTTATACTAAAATCTGATTATTTTATCCCTTTATTTTTACGGAAACCGCAGGGATAGATCATTTAGTTTACAAATAAAAAAATTAAATAAAAAAAATGTTCCACTTATAAAGAAATAAAAACGAGTGCTTTTATACTAAAATATGATTATTTTATCCCTCGGATTTTACAGAAACCGAAGTGATAGATCATTTAGTTTACAAATAAAAAATAAAATAAAAATAAAGATTCCACTTATAAAGAAATAAAAACATAAACTGCATAAGCTGAAATTCGAAGCATGTCTTGAATTATTTTCCCCATCTGTTATATTAAAAACTAAAGAAATATGTGATTTTTATTTTTAAAACAAATAAAACATAGCGCACATTGGCATTATGCCTCATTTTTTGTTGGCCGATGTGAAAGTTTTGTCATGAAATGTATTATTCGTAGTAGTGACTTAATCAACAAGCTAACTTTAAAGAATTGGGCTAACAGACTAGCCCAATTCAATATGCTAATAACATAACATATTTCGAGTGCAACATGTTTGAGCTTACTTCGACTACAACATGCAAGGCTTCAACACTAGCATGTGAACAAACTTCGACTTCATGTTTAACCTCTGTCGAACCATGAAGTTACCCCTGTCGAGACTAGAGCTTGATCCAAAACACCACAATTTCCATTTCTAATATTATCATGTTTAGATTACCACACATCCAACGCAATATTCTCATCTCTGATATACTTACATTATTCTTGTGTTGATTTTTAATCGTCCAATATTATGTCTTGTATCACAATGATAGAACACTATGTCTTTATCTCGCATACATTATGTTTATCGTAAATATTTACACATATTATTGAAATATGATATACTACACTCGATAAATGATTAATGAATCGTAGCATTGGATCTTATAATATTTATTCACAGTCAAATAAGATCTACAAATAAGCTAATAGAAGCACTGATGCTTTGGTAAATCTGAGCCTTCGTCGTAATACGAAAACACTTACGTATGAAAGTTGTTCATTGGAGATTATTTTATCCTATAGTTATGATTTTCTTGGAGGGCCTGTCCAGAGAAATGGATATGCCGCCTTTAAGGTGCCAAAGGCATGGTGCCTTTGATTGTTTTTAAACAATTTTGGTGAAAGAGAAAATACAAAAAATATGAAATATTGATGAAAGAAAGTGTTAGGCAGAGAAAGAAAGACCTAAAGGCACCATGCCTTTGGCGTCTTAAGGTCAACAGATCTATGTCTAGGGGTGGTAAAACGGGACCGGTCTGTTGGTCATGTCCGTTTTACTCGCACTTTAGTGCGTGGCAGATCAAGAATTTAGGCCCTCACCCTCTAATGTGACGGCCCCGCCCCACCTCGTTTTTTTCGCGGACTTTTGTGGGCATGATTATTAGCATAAAATTTTACATTTGTGAGCCTAAAAAGTACCGTACCTGTGGACTTTCCCCGCCCCACACTCACTTTTTTGCAGAACGGACCTAAATTTTAGGTCATCATCTCAACTATATTTGTCCTATTTTTTTGCAGACTTTTGCGAGACGGGTCTAAACGGAACAGACATGCCCATTTGCCACCCTTACATATCCCCATATCCCATGTAATTTTCGTGTGTAGTTAGTTCTTTTGTTTTTGGGCTTTATTAGCTCCCCCTTTTATTAAATTAAAAAAATTTAATGAATCGTTTTACATCTAAATTGTTGTAAAATTTTCTCATAATTATGTCAAACGAAAACATAACAGAAAATCAAAATGGAATAACATTGAATATATAGAATGATATCAAAACATGACACATCAAAGAATGATCATCATGCATTCAAACCAAACTTCCTATTTTTCACTCACATACAAAAGAAAAACACAATCTTCAAAATCATAAACATGATTATTCTCTTCTATACCCTAAAAAATGATCACTTAGGCCAATTTCTTCCCATTCATCATCATCCTTGTAAACTCATTCAAGTTTATAAAACCATCTCCATCCCCATCGACGCCTTTCACCATTTTCTTACAAGCACTAAGGCTACAACTTTCACCTAACCTCCTCAAAATTTGAGACAATTCTTCAGCACTAATTTTCCCATCACCATTTATATCAAATACTTGAAAAGCACTCTTAATTTCATCTTCTTTTGTGTTACTACCCTCTCCATTGAACATTTCCATAAACTCTTTAAAGACTATGAAACCATCTTTGTCAGAATCCATGGCTCTGAAGGCTTTCAGTGCCTCTGTGTCACTAACACCTTTATCCAAAGACTTTGCAGCTGCTTTGTACTCTTCAAGACTAATTTTCCCATCTTTGTTTTTGTCAAATTTTTCAAAAACATATTTCATTTCATCTTTCATTGGCTCATTACTCGTGTCTGCATGCGACGTTTGTCTCGAGTTATAGCTTTTGTTCTTCTGGGCTAGATTTTTTGGGGGAGAGGTTGGCTTCTTTGAAAAGCTACCGTAAAACTTCTGGAAACTCAATTTTGACATTGTCTTTTGTTAGGAGTTTTGATACAATATGGCTTTAGTATGATTATGATTTGTGATTGCTACTACATTATGAGTTGTTTATATAGATAACATAAGCTTCCTACTATTGAAAAGCTCTAGGTATGATTTGTAAATAAAAAGTAGAAGAATCTGAATAAAGGTTTGTTCTTATGCCAAGAGATTTTAAACTAAAATTGTGTATATGCTTTATTCTAAATTTTGAGTGTTGTGGTCATGACTAGGTAGGTATTTGAAATTAAAGCAAGCTTTTAAATATCGGTTGCCGCTATATTACAATCACCTAAAACCTTTCACGATTTTAGTCACTACAGGTTACAATATTGATCGTTGTCGTTGTAGAATGCATTAACTATAATTTGTTTTTCATCATAAAAACAGTGAATAATTGTATCGTTATCAGCATTTTTCGATACCGTTTTTTTCCAGTAATAAACTATTTTTTAAAATTTTACTTAGATTAATTTTTAAAGCGGTGAATAGCCACGATCCACGTTAAAAAATAAAATTTCATGAATTTTAATACGATTGCATTTTTAAGAATGAATTCTAACTCATAACATTTAAGTAAATTGAAAGAGATCATTGTCATCTTCTATGGTTTGTGTTTAAAGTTATTTGTTTATTGATAGACATTGAATTGGTGAAGTTGGAATAACTTTATGTGCAAGGTTTACTTATGACTCATGGTGATCAAAACAACATTGTTCTGTGGTTTAAGTTGAAATGCAAATCTATTTGATGATTCCGTTTGAACTTTTTGTATACCGTGTATTCGCCACACACTTGCTGAGTTGAATCATATTCTCATGCCACTTATTAATTTGTTAGTATATGTATGTACATCAAAGTGTTGGTGAATCCATCATTGAGTACAGAACATTTAAAACCGGCTTTAAAACTTCGGTTTGAAGATTGTTGTGCATGCATATTCATCTTAAATGTGACAATGACATTGGGAAATTGTTTTGGTTAAAAGAGATTGGCATGATGCACTTTTATCAATCGAAATTTGCCTTCAATCGATACAAAGTGAAATCTCATTCGATTCTTATTGAAATATGATATTGGATGAACTAGTTGATTTAGATGAGGAAAGATTGAATGTCTTAAAATTTTTGAGAAGACAGAAAAAAAGAGTGGAACAAGCATAAAATAAAAAGGTCAAGATTAAAATGTTTTCGACTGAACATTTAGTGTGGAAAGTAATTTTATCCAAGGATCGAAAAGATAGAACATTGGGTAAACGGTACTCAAATTAGGAAGATCTCTTTCAGATTATCCAAATCTTTTTTAATAATGCTTATGAAATTAAAGAATTAGCAGAGTATCGAAGACTCTCGAGGATAAATGGAAAATATTTGAAAATATATAAACCTATATTCTAGGAGGTTAAAATTTTAACATAATAACACATGCGCTAATAAGAAGCCAAAATGGTAACTAAGATTAAGTGTCAAGATGATTAAATTTGTTACAAAATTATCTAAGGTCGAAACCACAAGTTAAACAGATACAACAAATAAGCAAGTACAAAAATCAAAAGGGTAGAGTGGTCTTTATTCGTTCATACTTTGTCTTGGACAGCAACATGCGACGTTCGATCACAGACCTACTGGAAGTAAGGGTAGCGATTTCGTTTCACAATTTTTGAGCCCTTTCAACATGATATACACCTACTTTGATCTCATCGTCGAGTTGTCTTTTATCAAGTTTTTGAATTTCTTCTTGACGATCCTTGGCTTTTTAAATGTTGGCTTGCAGCTCTCTGATTTGTTGTTCCCAATTGGAAATATTGGTAGTACAGGTGGTGAGTTCCTCTTGACTTTGTTGAAAAGTCTTTTCCAACTCTTTGACTTTGTTGGTGGACTCAATGGCTGCATCCCATTCTGATGTTTGGGTCTCCGTCTTATTTTGGATCTTGGTCGAAGCCTCTCGTTTGCGTGTGAAATCTACATTGACTTGATCGATGAGGAACCCAAGCTCTACAATGACATCTGTAACTTTTGGAGGAGTAGTTAAAATGTCAACTTGTTTTAGAAGATCGTTAATCATGTAGCAGGAAGTTGAGTCGTTTTCTAAAACTTGGATCAAGTCGAATTCAAATACTTTCTCTTTGATCTATTGAAGAAGTTTGTCAGTAGATTCGACGATAGAGTGACCACCAGAAGCGGTCGAAGATCTGGAACACTTATCAGTTGAACTGCCTCTGGCGCTCATCATCAATTTCAGATATTCAGCTAGTTTATTTTTCTTCAAATTCTCTAATTCTTCTTAGAAAAGAGCAACAGAGGTGACATTCGAAGGGGCCTTGAAACCCTTAATTGTCCCAAAAGGTTGTGTTCTGGACTTGGCCCGGCTGGCCCAATAGCGACGATAAAGGCCCAATCCAATCGGACTTGCTAGGGGTCACGCCGACCTAAGGACCATAGATATGCCCGACACACGTCACTGGGCGACACCCCCGTCCTCGGATTGTCCAGCTCGACATCAGCTCGAGCGCTCCTTCGCCAGTAGACACAACCCACTGCACTCCCAACGGGACTCCAAAAAGACCGCGTCTCTGTCCGCCCGCACTTCACGCAGAACATCCAGGGAGGGGACCACGTGCAGGTCCCCACTACGCACGTAGAACCTGGCAGTTCCTCCATTGGGCCAAACCTGCCCGGCCCAATGAAGGAACCTTGGCCCAGCGCTGGGGGCTATAAATACCCTCTGTTTCCAGAGGGTCAGGTATTCAATCTATCACATATACTCACACTCTTGCCTGCTCGTACTCTTACTTACTTCAACATCGGAGTGCCTTGCAGGTACCCCCCACCTCGTTCAAAAACATCAGCTCGGAGCCAGCCGTGACGGTCCAAGTCTGATCAGGTTAGATCAGTGGCACCGTCTGTGGGGAACTAGCTTCCCCGTCTTGCAAACTCAAAGACCAAAGCTCAAATTCAACTACCTATCATGGCTGATCAAGCTCGCGATGAGCAGAACGTCCGTGTCGTCGACACTAATAACGGTGCCGCGGACAAAAACGGACACCTTGATAACGCCAGCAACCCCGGCCACAACACCATTCATGCGACAACCGCCCCCGGAACTTCCTCCTACAGGGACGGAGCTACTGCATCATCCTCCTCGCTCCCACCACCACTCGAAGACGACCCGACGGCCCTCGCGCACTACAGAGCCGCCCGGTTCCAGGAAGTCCCCGTCCCCTCCGGGGCGGATGCCATAACACAAGCGTTGTTCGCAGCAATTAATCAAACGAACTATCTCATCTTCGCCCAAGGAGAGAGACTAAAGGCGCTTGAAGACGAGCGAAGACCCCCGAGGAGGCATCGGAGACCACATACCCCCCCTCCTCGAGTGACTGAAGCTCGACATCCATCTCCCCTGCGGAGACATTACAGGGAGACCTCTCGAATCCAATCTCCCCGGCCAAAACAGAAACGGCCTTATCTGGAGAGGCAGCTCGTCATTCAGGCCGGAGAACCCAGTCGTGACCCGGCGATACTAGAAAGAAGACACTCCGGAGACGGACGTGTAAAATTCAACCACCGAGCATCCCGCTCGAGAGAGACTCAGCACGACCTGGACCGTCGTTCCAGACAGTATTATAGGTCCCCATCTTTATCTCCGGAGAGAAGCGACGAGGACGACCCCCGCGGTCCCCTGTCACAGGCTATTATGGAGGCACCCATCCCCCCGGGCATGGAGAAGCCCCCTCACTTAAAGGAGTACGATGGAGTCGCGGACCCAGTCGACCATATAGACGGGTTCGAGGCCATGCTCCATTATCACAACGTCGGGGGCCCCATCAAGTGCCGGTTATTCCCCACGACTCTCCGGAAGGCGGCAATGGACTGGTACAAAGGACTCGCCCCGGGCTCAATCACCTCGTGGCGGAACCTGAAGAACCAGTTCATCAGTTCCTTCATAGCTTCTCGGCGGCACCCGAAGACCGAGGCAGCTCTCGAGGCCATCATCCAAAGACAGGATGAGACCTTGAGGGAATTCATCAACTGTTTCAACCGGGAAGCAATACAGGTCCCCTGTGCGGACCATATGAAAAGATATTTGTTTGAGAGAGGGCTCCTCCCCGGCACAGAGTTCAGAAAGGCTGTAGGTATCGAGCCACCTCGGACATTCGATGCCCTCCTCGAAAAAGCACGAGCATACATGGACTACGAGGAGAGGGAAGCGGCCAACAGAGCCCGAGATTCCAGGACTCGTGGTCCCAACAGCAGCTCGCGCCAAGAAGCTCCTCCTCGACGAACCGGGGAGAAAAGGAAGGAAGACAGACCCCGGGAAGTCCGGGAACAAAGAGGACCTTCGGGGCGTTTCACCGAGTACACTCCGCTCACAGCTTCCCGCGAGCGCATTCTGGCGGAGTGTGCCAGCACTGATTTCAAGGATGGCGGTGTCAAACGTCCCCGACCTGCTCCCGCCAAGCCCGGAGCAGACAAAAACAAATATTGTCAGTACCATAGGAGCCATGGTCACCTGATTGAGGATTGCGTCCACCTCAAGGACGCCATTGAAACCCTCATCAAGGGAGGGAGGCTCGCGCAGTACCGGCGAAACGACGCTCCCCGTCGTGACGCCCAAGAAACCAGGGAGCCAGAAGAAGACGCCCGACCATCTAACGAGTCGGTGCCCATCCAAACTGCCTTCTCCGTGACCAGGCCCGAGGATTTCGACTTCCCCGAGAACCTGCAAGAGCCACTTACAACGCACAGCAGGTGGGAATACTTCCCCTCCGCCCTGGTCATCAACGGCGGCGGGTTCAACAACTTGACCATCAATTCAGCCAAGAGGAAGCTGGACGAACTAGTCGACGCGGCTCCCCCGCAAACAGTGACGTTCGAAAGGGTGAAGGGCAGGTCAGAGCCCATCACCTTCTACCTGGAAGAACTCCCCGGCGGAGCCCCGAACACGGTCATCCCCTTACTGATAAGGGCAAGAATGGCCAATTTTGATGTACA